GGCTTACAAAGCTCCGAACCACCTCAATCCCATTGTAATACTTGCTGCCATAACTGGGCACATCCCATTATATACTGGTAGTCTGCTTGGGAGGAGAGGGGCCTGTATCTTTACCTCCTTGAAAAAGTATTTAAGACCTCATTTCACCTTCAGCCTGTGCTGGAATAACATCCATAATGCTTTATTGGCTCCAGCTGCAGTGCCTTGCCTCCTGCCTTCACTTCTGGACCTCAGTCTTGAGCAGGACATTAATAATTCTATCTCTAATAACAGTTTCTACTAATTTCCATGGAACAGATGTTAGGCTAACTGGCCTGTAATTCCCTGGGTCCCCTCTGGACACCTTTCTAAAAATCAGTATGACATTTGCTACTTTCCAGTCATCTGCAACAAGTGACATATGCTGGTTAGGAGATCAGCAGTTTTTGCATTTGAATTTCTTAAGAACCCTTGAGTGTATGCTACCTGGACCTAGGGGCTTATTAGTTTTCAGTATGCCTGGTTGTCTTAGACCTTTATTCCTTCCCACCTCAATTTGACTCATGCTTATCCATGAGTGGTTCTTACAAGGCTGGAAAATGTTTAAATGACCTGATCATGCCTGTCTTCATGGGAAAACACATACCACTGCACCCTTCCATTTGGCTGAATTAATTAACCAGTCTCTTTGGTGCATGGAAACCATTCATAGATAAGCAGCTCCTTCACCTGCTTAGAGAACATTTAAAGGGCACCCCAGAAAACTACATTTACACTATTACGCATTACATTTGAATGTTTAATTTCTTACTAGGAATAAGGCCTGTTGTGGAAATAAATGCAATGAGCTCTTGAAAGAGGCTCTGAGAGGGTGCCTTGGTTACTCAGCGTCAATTTGCTATGGTGAAATCAGCAGGGTATAATGACACAGAGCTTCCCATTTTCTCTAGGGGAGCTAATCTCTGCCATCTGAAGAGCAGTTGTAATTCTGAGTGATCCCCAGCCCTTCCCTGGAGATTGGCAACAATGCTTCCCCAGGAGGAAATGGCTGTTTTGGAGGATGGAGTCTATGGCATTGTACCTGTCTGAGAACCCACCTGCTCAAACCCCACCCTCTCCAGGCTCCACCCCTCAAATCTCCAGGTATTTCCCAACCTGGAGGTGGTAACCCTATCTCCTTCCCATCCAACCATCAACCTACTTTCATTTGCCCATCTGACTTCAGTTTTCCATCTTCCCCCCACCTGCAGGCTCTACCTAGGAAAAGTACAGTCTTTCTCCACAGTGGCGACCCAAGCAAGACAGAAGCAACCTCAGTAGGGTATAATGACAGAGTACACCCTGCAAAGCAGCTGTTTTCTCCAGCTGGAGAGCAGTTTTCTCAGTGATCTGCAGCCCTCCCCTGGAGATTGGCAGCAATGGTTCCCCAGGAGGAAATGGCTGGTTTGGAGGGTGGAGTCTATGGCATTCTATTCAGCTGAAGCCTCTCAACTCCCCAAACTCTGGTTTCCGTAGACTCCACCACAAAATCTCCAGGAATTTCCCAACCTGGAGCTGGCAACCCGATTCAGGACTGGCACCAATGAATTCCCCACAAAGGCCAAAGTAGGCCTGGAAAGGGCCTCCTGCCTTTGCCTTTTTACTGACAGAACTAAGCTTGGTTGTCTAGCAACAGCCACTGAGGAAAAAGGTAGCCCCACAGCAGGAGGAGAAGAGAATGGTTTGGCAGCTGGTGGCCCACCTCAGTAGCCAGCCTGTTGCAGAGGAGCCAAGCAGAAGTAGAAGCATCTTCATCAGGAGAGACACCCATTTCGACAGTTTATTCTGTCAGTGAAGAGTGTCCAGGCTGGCAGTGGGTCGGGGAGAGGAGCGGACCCAGCCCCCAGCCAATGGCACACGAGTACTCTTGAGGGGCAGTTGATGGACCAATGGCTGATGGCGCGTACAGCACAGCCAATGGGAGAGCTGGAAAGTGCCAATATGCCAGGGCTTTTATATATATCAGATGACTATGGTTCCCAACCTTGTTGAACATGGAGGCAATTTTAAGAAGCGATATTGGGCATCAAAACAAAATGGCCACCATGGTGGCTGGCTCCAATCTTAAAAAAACCCCAGAGGTGCCACAAAATGTTAGTAAATTCCCAGCAGACATCCTCATGTGATGAAGGCAGCTGTTTCCACATGGATGTTTCCTGCAGACACAAAGGAAATGATTTCTGGGTTTTTCTGCAAGGAAATGAAGAACATCCAAGACTGGCTGTTTGGTTTGGGGAAAAAGCAAGTGGGGACCAGGAATAGCACTGGGAAATGCCATGACTCACATAGGTGCCACATTGGGACCACTGTAGTAGAGTCTGGTCAATAGCTTCTTGAGTGTGACCATCTGCCATGCAATGTCTTAATTATATTCATTATCTGATCAGAATTTTAAATGAGCGTGCAATGACAATGTGTGTGGAAAGAGTGGATCAGCATCCCACACTAGGTGTTGTTGTTCAGTCACACAGTCGAGTCCGACTCTTCGTGACCCCATGGACCACATCACGCCAGGCCCTCCTGTCTTCTGTCGTGCTCCGGAGTTTGCTTAATTTCATATTCATTGCATCGATAACACTGTCTAACCATATCATCCTTTGCTGTCCCCTTCTTCTTTGACCTTCAATCTTTCCCAGCATCTGGGTCTTCTCCAGTGAATGCTCCCTTCTCATTTGGTGGCCAAAGTATTTGAGCTTCAGCTTCAGTATCTGGCCTTCCAGGGAACAGTTAGGGTTGATTTCTTTTGGGATTGACTGATTTGATCTCCTTGTAGTCCAAGGGACTCTCAAGAGTCTTCTCCAGCACCATAATTCAAAAGAACACTAGGTAGCCATCTGCAATTTGGGCACCAGTAACAGAACCAGCTCTATATGCTTTGAGCCAAATGTGCCGATGAACCTCTTTAGTTGACACACATGACCTTAATATTTAGCATTCAGTAGGGCTTCTATTACTCAAAGCCCTTCACATACACTATTTGCTATAATCCTTGCAACAGCCCTGTAAACTGGGCCAGTATTATTAGCTCCGTACTGCAGTTGAAAGGGCTAAGAGAGGGGACTTGCCTAAGGCCATCTGTGAGTCTGTGCCAGAAACTGATCTGAACTAAGCACCCCACAGATCACAGGTCATTCTCTCAGCCACTACATTATACTCAAAATGTGATGTTGCACTGAAGCCTATGGTCTTGATTCCAAAGATCTAGCTTTTCACATTCACAGTGTACATGCATCAGGCCTTTCTCTGCAGCCTCCAGAACTGAACTGTTATTGAGTTCAGACAGCTACTTGTCTTATCAGCAGGCACAGTGTTTACAGTTTGGATTATGATCAATGACTTTAGCCTGGTTATACTGGTTTATTGCCTCCGCTACTCATCTCATGGTGCTTGGAGAAGTCCTCCAAAATCTTGATGGGGGTTGACCTCAGTACAGTAGCACTTTGGCTTTTTCATGCATGCATCTTAGTATGTTTTGGTACTCAGTGGCCTTACAATAAAACATATCTTTCTATCTCCATATTAAGGGTCCAGTGTACAAGATAGCATGGAATCCATTCAGCACTGAAGTTTTTCTAAGTTGCTCTGCAGACTGGAGTATTATGTTGTGGCGCCAAGATTCCCTTCGCCCCATTTTAAGCTTAAGTTCCACAACCAACGTTATTTATGATATCATGTGGTCTCCCAATTCAGCATTTGTGTTTGCAGCAGTGAATGAAATTAGAGTGGAAATCTGGGATCTTAGTGTCAGCTCGTAAGTATCTGCTTTGCTTAAAGGAAATCTGGAAATGGATAGTTGCTGTAAATAGCATATTGCACATATGGAATAACACTTTACTGCACCCTTAAAATATTCTCCGCAGTCTATAATTTTGAAGTCATGGTAAGTTTGCTTGGTTGCTGATAGAGTTGTCCCATCAAGGGTAATTTGATGCCTTACCTAAAAGCCAGGCTGCTGCTAGCCAATGATGAGGGGGAAAGGGAGGAATGAGCTGCACATTCTCAGCTAATTCCAGCAGAAGAGGGGAATTAGTAACAAAAAAAAGAAGTGAGTTACCATGAAATGTGCTAGGCCTTATTCAGGGACAGCACTACCCCCAAACTGATTCAAGCCCATACGTTTCCTTTGAAGTAGGGGGAGAAGGAGATCTATCACAGAGTTCAGAGAGTGTATGAGAACCAGTTATTATAGCAGACATGAGGCTGCCGCCGAGGTAGCCCCACATTGATTCCACCTCTTTCTCTCTCTCTCCCCCTCTCCTGTAATGTGTAGCAATTCAGTGAAACAAAACCTATGCTGTGATGTCATTGTGCTCCAAGTTTCACAGTCCCTGCACCATACAGAAGTGAGTAAACTCACAGGGCAACTACATTTTACAGAAATAGTTGGTACTTGGGAAAGGGAGAGAATCCCTGAGTGCTGTTTTCAGCATATCTTCCAAAATGTCTAGCTCTCTCCTATGAGAGAGTAAGTTGCATCCCATTCAAATAAAGACACTGGCACTCATTTCCCCATGTGACTGTACCAAGGGGTGGCTTTATGCCACTCATCACTTTCATTTTCAAGAAACCTCACCTAGCATTAGATTCTAAGAACATAAATGCCTGCTCAGCCAAAACCAATCTGGTACTGGAAGATCCATGGGTGCAGCTCTGAACCATATTTGTGTTCCATGTAGCTGATAGTGCCATTAAAAAATGTGAGACTCATCCATTGATCTCCAAGTGTCAGAACTGTTTTCTCCCTTCCATAGGCAGATTAAATGTCTTGCCTTATCACAAGACCACAGCTAACTGGAAGAATACAGTGATAGTATATAATTGGCGTTTCACTTTCAACAACTACTATACATTATGCTGGGCCCTGGTCAGGCCCATAGCCAAGAATTTCTAAGTTGGGGGGCATTTAAATTTCAGGGGGGGCACTTAGCCAATTTAGATAATTTAATTATTTCTCCTGTGCAATCCCCCTCCCTCAAGCCCCCTCCCTGGATCTCCAAAGCAGCCAGCATCTCCCGGCCTCCTTCTCTCTCTCTGGCATCCCCCCTGCCACCCGGCTCTCCCTTCCCTCCATAGGGTGGGGCTGGGAGATCAAATGAGATTGCTTGGCTCCCTTGCTGCTCTTAGCCAGCAGCTTCTGTCTCCCACTCTCCCCCTGACGACGGAAAATCCCAGTCTCTGCCCAAGGCTTGCACTCTCCCTTCTTCTGCATCCGCCTCCTCCTCTTCACTCTTCTCCAGCCTCCTCTTCTCAATCAACCCCTGGCTCAGCTGGCAGTGTCATCGCTGCTGTCCCCCCTTGCTGTCCCCAAGCAGCAGCTGGCCAGGCCCAGGAAGCAGCAGCAGTCACCACCACCACTGCCATGTGCACCTCTTCCTCCCCTGGCCAGCTGTCTACCCGCCATGGCCCACACAGGGGCCTCCTCCATCTCTCCACCACCGCTGTTGCCCCCTTGCTGCCCCTGATTCCTGAAGCAGCTGAGGAGGAGGACAAAGAAGAAGAGCTGCTCCCATTGCGGGCCTTGGTGCCCCGCTCCTCTCCGGTGCTCCAGCCCCCTCCCACCACCGTCGGCTGCAGCAGTTGTTCCTTCTCCAATGAGCCTCATGGGGGAAGGCAAGGAGAGGACTGTGGGGCTGCTGGCAGGTGGGGAAAGGGAAGGGGCAGCAGCAGTGGTGGGGAGTCCTCTGGGCAGCCCAGAGAGTTGGTGGGGGCATGGACTGCCTAGAAAGTAATGGGACCTTGGTAGAAAGTCAGGGGGCCGGGCCCTGGGAGGCAGCAATGTAGCTACAGGCCTGGCCCTGATTATAAGTGTGCCTCGCATATTACTTTCCCCCCAATATGTAGAATCAATTTCTTGTTTACTGGTAAAATTATACAATCCTAAGAATAGGATGCTCCAGTAGCTCTCTCATTTCAGTTGTAAGTTATGTACAGTTGTATGTTACAGAGGGGCACTGTGTTATGATGGTTCTAGTCCTATCTGGGGGGTTGGTCTCAGAAGGTAGTGTGGGGGGATTCCTGCTCTGCCCCATGGCCATTGGTTTGTGGTGTTTCACAGGGTTCAGTCTTATCCCATATGTTATGTATGGAGTAAGAATATAAGAGAAGCCAATGATGAATCAGGCCAATGGCCCATCCAGTTCAACACTTTGTCACACAGTGGCCAAAAATACCAGGTACCATCAGGAGGTCCACCAGTGGGGCCAGGACACTAGAAGCCCTTCCACTGTTGCTCCCCCCCAAGCACCAATAATGCAGAGCCTCACTTGCCCCAGACTGAGAGCTCCTATCTATACCTTGTGGCTAGTAGCCACTGATGGAATTCTACTCCATATGTTCAATCAGATCTAGCCACAGTGATCCATGCTTTAGTTGCATCTAGGCTGGACTATTGCAATGCATTCCACTTGAGGCTACCCTTGAAGAGCGTTTGGAAGCTTCAGCTACTGCAGAATGCTGTGGCTAGATAGTTGGTTGGGGCCAGCTGCCAAGAGCATGTGACCCCAATACTACAGCAATTACACTGGCTACTGATCCACAGCTCAATTCAAGGTGTTGGTTTCATCCTTTAAAGTCCTACCTGGCTTGGGACCATGGTATCTGAAGGACCATCTTCTCCTATATGTTCCTGCCTGGGAATAAAGATCACAGGAAGTGGCAATTGTGACAGTTGTGGGCACACAAGAGAGGGCCTTTTTGGTGGCAGGGGTTTGCCTGAACCCTTCACTTTTAATCTTCAGGAGGCAGTGGAAGATAGTTTTATTTAGGACTGCATTTGACTAAGTTAGTTTTTATTTTTTGGCAGTTCTAATTGGAGATTTCAAATTGTGATTTTTACATTTTGTAAAATAATTGTTTTATTTACATTTGTGAAGAAATACCTTTTTTCTTTGAAGATTTGAACTGAGCAAAGCCTTCACTTTACATTTTAAAAAGTTTCTTTCTGGGTAGAGAACAGGCAGGAGGGGGAGAAGACAGTTCAGTTGCTTTTTGGCTTACCTCAGCCACCTTTTTAGAAATGCTAATAGGTCTAGCAAGAGACAATGGGATGGTCAAGCTCTTCCCCCCCAGCAGGGAACAGAGGTTTGGAGGTGTTAAGAAGAAACTCCTGGAGACTTCAGGAAAAGCTTTTTTGATCCAGCCTGACCTGGCCAGTGGGTGGAGAAAGAGTAATGATAAAACTCCTGGGATCAAGGAGGAAGTTCTCTTTGGTGCTGATTTCATTGAAGCAGGCAGAGCTCTTAACTGAGGTCTGGAGGAGGTGACCATTGCCATGTCCTGGCCTGCACACCTGAAGGAAGCTTGAAGGAAATGGAACTCCTCCAAAAATCTGTAACTTTCTGAGCTAAGGACGCTGCCTTATATTTAACAACTGATAGGGCATGTATAGAGGTAGGGACAGAGGGATTGTTTTACCTTTTTCTTTTGAATCCCTTGCTCATTCTGATGCTGTGCTTGTGAACATTTTCTTTTTAATAAATATTTGTAACTTTTGATCCTGGTAGTAGTTCTCTGTCGTGCCCAAGACTGAACCACATAGAGCTCTACCATCTTGGACACACTATTTTCAAAACAGAGCCAGGAGGAAGGGGTGGGCAGTCAGTTGGCAAGTGGCTATTCTGCCAGGGGCACACGAGGCAGTAAGCTATACCTATGGTAACCTGTGAGAGATGTAGAGGAGAGGCCTCATAACTTGGCAGGGAAGCTGGGAGTCCTGACCTCCCAGTGGGAAATTCCTACAAAGGTCAGGTGGTGGCAGTGGTTGGAGAGAGAGAGAGAGAGAGAGAGAGAGAGACTCCCAGTTTTGAGAAAACCTTGGAGGACAGGGTGGAAGAGGGCCTGCAGGTCAGAGCAGGACTGTTCTGTCACAACATTGTAAGCCACGTTGAGTTCTGTAAGGTAGAAAGATGGCTAACACATGTTTGAAATAAATACATCTTATCATCTTGCATGCAGACTGGATCCCCTGATCGTCAATCCTGCCATTGGAAATTTGAAATTCACAACTGTACTTTTTGCTAAGAATGCGGACTGTGTTCTGATTGGGGACAGTGATGGATTAGTTACTGTGTATGCACTAAGAAATATGATTGCCTCAGATAGCAGGAAGGTATGTTTCACTAGATAAAATGCTAAATTAATTTAGCCCTGTAGGTTCTGATGCCAGTGAATCAGACTCCTTGTTCCTAGTCAGTACTCAATTGTTTAGGCTCTGGATCTATGCACTTAGTAGTGAAGTTAATATTTATATTTTGTGGTCACCATAGAATCATAGAGTTGGAAGGGATCTCCAGGGTCATCTAGTTCAACCCCCTGCACAATGCAAGAAATCCACAAATACCTCCCCCACTCACACAACCTTACTGACCCCTGTTCCAAGCCCAGAAGATGACAAAAAAACTGGCCTGGAGAAAAATTGCTTCCTGACCCCAAAGTGGTGATAAGCATTTCCCTGGGTGTGTAAGAAAGGACCACAAGAACACTGAGGCAACTCTTTCTGCCCTCCCTCTCATGAACTGCCTAAGTTCACAGAATCAGCATTGCTGTCAGATTGCCATCTAGGCTCTGTTTGAAAACCTCCAAAGAAGGAGAGCCCACCACCTCCTGTTCCACTGAGGAACCGCTCTGACTCTTAGGATGTTCTTCATAATATTTAGCTGAAAACTCTTCAATTTTAATTTCAACCCGTTGGTTCTGGTCTGACCTTCTGGGGCAACAGAAAACAACTCTGCTCCATCCTCTATATGACAGCCCTTCAAGTACTTGAAGATGGTTGTCATATCACCTCTCAGTCGTCTCCTCTCCAGGCTAAACATACCCATCTCCTTCAACCTTTCCTCATAGGACTTGGTCTCCAGACCCCTGACCATCTTTGTTACTCTCCTCTGGACATGTTCAAGCTTGCCTATATCCTTCTTAAACTGTGGTGCCCAAAACTGAACACAATACCATATTGAACCAGTTGGTGTAATGTGTGCTGTGAATGTTTTGGCAACATGGTGGGACCATCCAGAATAGGATCAGTCTAGATTGGGAGTCCCCAACCTTTTTGAGCCTGTGGGCACCTTTGAAATTCTGACACAGAGTGGTGGATACAACCACAAAATGGCTGCTGAAGGAGGTGGAGCCAGCCACTAAATGTCAGAGAGTGATGTTATAGATAACTCTAATAGTAACTCTTCAACATTTCAGGCAGAAACTTTGTTTATCACAATGCCTTTTAAGAGAAAGATATTGGTTTAAAATATTCCTTGCATACACAAGCTTACTTTCACTTATGCATTGAAGATCCTTGGGCTGTAGTGGCAGCTGTTTTCAAACCAACATAAAAAAAAAATCTGCACAGCCAACCATCCAGTGGCTAGTAAGAAGCTGTGCTAGGCAAAAACTCTTTCTGGCTCCACTCATTACAAAAACAACAACAACAAAAACCATATTGAGGACCCTTGGTCTAGATTCTCTCCACTCTTATTGCATTCCTTCTGCCTGATGAGCTGAAGTTATGTTAATCAAGTTTCCTACACAAGGCCTAACCATTCATGAACAGCCACTGCTTAAACCGTATGCTCAGCTGCATTGTTATCCCCATATACAAAGAGTGATACTCCCTTAGCGCAGTAATGGTGATTTAAAAAACAAAACAAAACACAAGGATAGTTACACCTGGCTTAGATCTACACATTGTTTGATTATGCAAATGGCTTTTTGTAATGGTTGACCAGCAAAATATGCTTTTGTTCTGAAGAGCAGAGAGTGTCAGCCACAGTGGCAAAGACTTGTGAACCAAGGACTGTTACAGTTGCTGGCACTGTGTGTACCAAAAGACATTTTGCTGCAAGCTGATACCATGTTTTTTCACAAGATGAATGTCTTTAAATGCAAGCAGATTTGTAGAATGGTGAAGCAGAAAGATCATTGTGAGGTTAAAGAATTCATCCATTCAGTGCGTGTGGTCACATCCAAGTTACACAGATAATACATTTTTACTTGAGAAGTTGTCATCTGTGAATGTTGTTGGCATAAAAGATAAAGACCCTTGCTTAACTCATATGTACTTTCTACTGAGTTTAGCATTTTTAAAATTCAACTTACTGGAATTTTAAGCTTCACTTTAAAAAATGGGCTAATCAGCTGTCATCTCACAACCCACCTACGTGCCAGTTTTAAAACATCACTTTTGCTGTATAAGACTGTAATGCTGGTGTCACATCACCGTAATGCTAGTGTAATGATCTTGGAAGGTATGGCATTGTGATGACATGGCTGTTGTGAGTCCCATCCTAAGCATTCATGTGCAAGGGCAGCCAGTTTTTTAGGACTGGGCTATTCATATCTGATTTCAAATTCTCCATTAATTAACAGCTTAGTGTTGATAATTTGAAGGCAATACTATAAAAAAGACACAGGAAGAGCAGGATACCAGGTAATGTAAATACATGATGTTGTTCTTTATAATATTAGATCTATAACACTTCCTTTCCCTAGGACTTATATGACCTTTCAGAATATACAAAGAGTTTTTGACAGTGTTGCCTATGAATAATTGTGTTTTTAACCCCTATGTAAGTGTGTTTTTGTCTTTTTCAGGTGGATGCTTTGCGTGATATCATTGGTTCTAATCTGGTTAGTCAGTAGTTTTCATTTATAATAATATTCAGTGAAACAAAAGAAATGATACCCAATAGCCAACATTTACTTATGTACCACTGAAATATGTAATTATTACACAATTAAATATATATGTGGAAATAAATTACTTGGAAATCTTTTTTTAAACTCCCTGGCTTTTCTTTCTGAAAGAATCAGTTCCTCTCCATCTCCACAAGACATCCATTCAATTGGCTGTTGATGATGCAGTCTTGGTATGACAGGCATAGGTAAGATAGGATTAAGATGCCTATTAAAGAAATTCAGCAGATTCTGTAAATGAGAACAGCTTACCATTGGCTTGAACAAAGCTAACATCATGATGTGTGGGAAAAGGTCACAACATCTTTAAGGAGACAGAGATTGCAGGGCTGTGGGTGGGCATCAAGATTCTTGTCAGGTCAGCACTTCTGTGCCAGCGTGATGAGGAGAAATGGGGTGGGGTGGGGGGATACCAACAGTGAATGGCACATGGGGACGGGGTGTATAGACATGGCCTCTGCACATCTCTGTCCCATTTGCTGCCGTATCTACAGCAAAGGCAGCTTTTGTCCCCCTGTCCCTCCTGGTGGAATCAGCCCAAGTTTATTCTGTTCTAGAGATAGAAACTGGATGAGGAAGAGCACCAGAAATGAAGCTTATCAGCTAGGCAACACAAAAAAAATCCTATGAAATGAAAGCTTTTTTTTTGTCTTTTAAGACTAGAGTAGATCTTCTTGTGATCTTTTCATGCATTTTCTAGGGGACACACAAGCTACTATTAGCTCATAAATTCCCTGTTGGAGTCTGCTGCTTTAGAAACTAGACAAAATCTATTTCTTTGAGCTTTCTTCTGTTTGTCTTCCTTGCAGACCAGCTCTAATGAGCGATCAAGACAGGCTTGCCTTACCTGTATTGAAAAGCAGGGTACAGCATATGGTGTTGGTGGTTTGGCAGAAATCATAGCATCTTCCTGGAAATCATTATGACAAATATATTTTAAGGAATAATCAGCCACAGGTTATTAGGCTGAATTAGTATAAAGCTGCGGTCACACACTCTAAATAATCCAATTTCAATTCTAAAAGGTTTATGTCAATACAATTTATCTATGGATTCTCACGGTTGGATCATAGATCTTTCCTGCTTCCCCACCAGCCACAGAAGACGGTGGAGGGAGTGATTTTTGCCCCCTTCCCATTTCTCAAAGCAGCTCCCCCACTCACATGGCTATTACTGCCACACTGGTACTGCTAAATGGATTTGTAATCTATAGAACCATTTTAGTTCCTAAAACAGCGAATTTATGAAATAGGTTTGGCCTGCTGAAAGACACTGCAATCCATTGTGTAAAGGACTAATTTACGTAATCGGTTTGGTATGTACTGCTCTTAAAAATGCTCTCCTTTTTTAAGAAGGCTGTTTCCTGAGGATTAATGCAAATAACCATGGATGGGCATGAACTGTGAAAATGCAGTTTAGTTCGTGACATGCCCAGTTCGCGGACCACGAATCGTCATGAACTTTTTGGTGCCAAATGAACTGTTTCCATTCATGAGCTTCATGATGTGGTAAAACAGCCTTGCGCCATACTAGAGACACCAAACATGTAGGGGATCTCTGGCTGATTCTCCTCTACCTGCCCTCCAAGTTCAGCGAGGATTGGATTTATGGGTTCTGAATTAGGACCCCCCCAAGGAGGGTGCCCACAGGAAAGTGCTTTCTGGGGAAATGTCAGGCGCAGTTTCAAAAGTGTATAGAATGGACCCCCTGCAAGCTACACACAACAAACTCACCCTGCCACCTGCTCCTCTACAATCTATCCAGGCAGATTACATTTATGAGGTCCCAGTTATGGACCCCAAACAAGGTTTCCCCAGTGCTCTCTCTGGAAAAGACAGCTGCAGTTATAGGAGCCTATGGAATGGCTCAGGAACAAGCCAGTGACATCAAACTCACAGGGATACTTCACCTGGGCAGACCCCACCTTTACACTCGCAGCCCCCCCAAGTCTCCAAAGGCAGGTTCTGAATGACAGAAAGACGGACATCCCCAGAGTTCCAACAAGGGATCCCCAAAGTAACGTCACAACAGCTTGGTGGGCACCCTAGGCACACAAGACAAGCAAGGGAAGCATGACCACAACTCTCACAGCCTCCCAAGGGCTGAAACACACAGGTCTCTCTAGAGCACACCCATCAAACAGCATGTATTCTGCTCTGGAGAGGAATTGAAATACATGTTGAGCTGGCTGGGCCAACCCCACATCTCCAAAGGCAAGTTCTGAATGACAGAAAGGCAGATGTCCCTGGCATCCCTGCTGCTGCTGACCTCCAAGTTCACCACTGACAACCAGTAGTGGAGCTTCTTCCTGGTTGGGCTTTTTGAGGCTGTGGCTCCTCCCCCCCAGCTCTTCCACCTGCTGTTTCCTCTGGCCACATCCGCTGGCCTGAAGCCTCTGTGCTTCTTTGCAGATCTTATGCTTCCATTGCATGAGCTCTGCATTCCAGAGATCAATGCTGTCTTTTATCTGGGGGTCACAGATACAGGCCAGCTTGTACTCCCCTTCCTTGCAGAGAGGATGCATCCTGGTGGTGATGCCCACCTACAATCTCTGTGCCATGGCCTTGCCCCATGGGAGAACAGCCAGCTCCAATGCAGAAAACAGTGCCCGACTCAGTCCTTGAATCAGGGGGATGACTTGCCCCAGGCTGGCCGCATGGGTGCACAGCATGTTGGTGGTGTCCTGCAAGGGCTTGAGGACATGCACCATTTGGGAGAGGGTCAGCCAGTCATTGGAGGTAATGCTGAGCTCCTCTTCCCTGTGTAGGATGATTTATGGAGGAGATGACATCCTGCACTGTGGTCTTCTGCCCCACCAAACATGCAATTATGGCATAGGTGGAGTTCCAGTGGGTAGGTAAGTCTAGAATGAGCCAGTGTTCAGGGTACAAATCCAACTCTTCCTCTTCTTCCTTCCTTATCCTGCTCCCCCTGCCTCTCACACAGCAGACGGGCAGACTTTTTTAAAAATAAAATTTTATTACTGAATATTTACAGGTGAACAAAAGGCGATTAAAAGGTAATAAAAGTTATCTTGCTATACTCTATGCATACAGTATCTCTTCATATACAGGGTTTGGAGAAATAATATGATTCTCCAACAAATAAAACATAACAGGTGTCAACATATCCCAGAGTTGGGTTGAGCTCTTAATTGGGTCTGTTGAATGTATACTCTCAGTAGTTTTTGCTATTATTATATATTCCCAAATTTTTTGGTGCCAGGTTCATATTGATGGTTTCAATTTACTTTTCCAAACTAATGCAATTGTTAATTTAGCAATTGTTAATAGTGTGGCAATTTTCTTTTTTTATTTCCAAATTGGGAATCAGGCCAAATATTTAGTAATACCGACTCTGGAGTAAGTGGAATTTCGCATCCAGTGATAATTTTGATTTTAACAATGATCCTCTCCCAGAATGAGGTTAAAGCAGAACAGTCCCACAAACAGTGTAAAGATCCAACAAGTTCTGAACATTTCCAGCATACAGGATTATACAAACTGGTTATTTAACTTAGTTTTTTGGGTGTATAGTACCATCTTGTTATTATTTCAATGATTGTAATTTAATTGTTATGACATTCGAAGTGCTCATAAATGAAGTCTAAATTTTCTCCCATTGTTCTGTTGAAATATCGATGTTACAATCTTCTGTCCAGTGCCTTTGGTAGCGTAGTAAGGCTTTTGAGGTAACATCAAGTAACATTTTATATACCTTTGAAAGGAGTCCTCTGGGACCTTGTGTTTTTTAAGAGGAGTTCAAATTGTGTGTGCTCTCTTTTCAATAACTAGCTGAGGAGTAGAGAACAAATTGTTTATTTGAAGGTATTGAAACCATTGTATAGGTAATTTCAGTTTTTGCTCCAGTTTTGTTTTATTAATCAGTTTCCCTTTCTCAATTATATGAGACATGAGATTCCAGAATTTGCCCAGTTATTATATAGTGGATTATTTTGTGCTGGGGGGAACCTTTAGTTGATAATAATTATATATATTACTTTTCCAAACTATATATCAATCATATGGTCAGACTTGATGCTGCATGAGAAGTGGGTAGCCAGGTACAGGCAGGTCTTGCACAAGGACTGCATCTTGAGGGTGGCAGCATCCCAGGTGGACTTGACAGTGCTCACCAGCCCCAGAGCATCCGTCACCAATAGCTGAAGTGTGTGCAACAGGTGGACAATGCCCTTGAGGTGTACAGCCTTCACCGCTGCCAGCATGTTGTCACTGGTGTCTGTGACCATGTAGCCATGGATGTTGCTGCCACCCACCCACTCCATCAGGTTACTCTATGTCATGGTGGCAATGTATTATGCCATGTGGTCTGCATCAGTGTTCCCTCTAAGCTGAGTTAGTGTGAGCTAGCTCACAGTTTTTTAGCCTCCGGCTCACACATTTTTGTCTTAGCTCAGGAAGGATGGGGCTCCAGAGCAAACTAATTGATGCAGCAGCCCAATCCCTCACTCACAACTTTAATGCCAGGAGCTCACACAGTAGAATTTTTGCTCACAGGGCTCCGTAGCTTAGAGGGAACATTGGTCTGCATCCATCCCCTGCACATGGAGCAGAACCACTTTGTAGCTCGGTGGCAACACTGTCCCCTCCTGGGGCCTTGGCTGTGCCTCAACAGTCTGGACAGAGAGGCCCTCTGATTGCCAACAGTGGGCGATGAGGGAGAGGTAGCCATGCTGCTGGCTACTCCAGAGGTCTGCCATGAAGTGCATGGTTCTGCATTGTGTTCTGGAGAGTTGAGCCTTGGCCATTGCCACTGTGGAGCAGTGCATGGTGGGCAAGACTCATTGGCTCATAGCAGGCAAGACTTGTCAGTTCTGTGAAGGTATTGAGTGCCAGGGAGCCGGTGTTGCAGCAGCCGGAAAAGGGCTACGTCCTCAACGAGGTAGAAGGGATGGCCATCCACAGTAATCATCATGCCCATGAGGTGAGTGACTGCTTCCTGGGCCCTCCACGTAGCCCTTCTGGATGGCACTGTCAACGTCTCCATGGGAATGGCTTCTTAGTGAGTGGCCTGCCTTGATATGGGTCCCACCCACAGCACCCCAAGTGCAGGGAGCCTTTCTTAGAGGGGCCTCCTGCACCCCCTCCACATCTCCTTGCTGAGAGGCAGCGGGCCTCTTCTTAGTCACACTGGCTACCACTTTTTAATCTGGTGGGAACATGAGGGTGCACCCTTTGCAGATGCCTGCAGAGGATGGAGGAAGACAAGTGTTTGGGGTTTGTGCCCCTCCAGATATGGGCATGGCACACCTGGCAGTCTGCCACACACTGGGGAAGTTTTCCAAACTGTGGTCTGGAAGTGGGCCCCCAGGACTGGAGAAACTGGGAGAGACAGCTGCTTTCTGATGCTTGGCTAGGAGGGGCCATAGAGGGGTGTACTCAAGGTGGGAGCAGCAACAGGGAGTTGTGATGTGGAATCATTGCTGCCAGAGTCCTTCTCTCCAAAGAGTGTTAGCAACTTCTGGTGCCTGGGCAGTGCTAACAACTCTGTTGCATCTGTGGAGAGCCCCAGGAACAGATCATGGGAAGGAGGCTCCAAGACCTTTGGTGATGCTCTGCTAGGACTGAACTCCAGTGGGCTAGCAGGATGGGTTTGGTGCCTGGGGATGGGGGCCTTTGGTACATGAGTGGTGGAGTATGTCTCCCCCCATGATGAGCACCCTTCGCATCCACTTTCACCCTCATGGTACAAAGGTGTTCACAATCAGGAGGGGTGGGAGGGTATAAAATGTGGGTTCTCAGCTGAGGTACCCAGTAGCTAAGCCCCTCCACTTGGCATGAGCAGAAAGACAGAGTGGCTCAGAACCCTACCTAACACCCAAACCCCAGCAGGGGAATGGTCTTGACAGTGCTCCCCAGCCTCAGATGCTCCTTCAACACCAGGTGAAGCATGTGCGCCAAGCAGACGATGCCTTTGAGATGCGCAGCCTTCACCACTGCCAGCATGTTGGCATCAACATTTGTGACCATGTAGCCACAGTTGATGTTGCCACCACCCACCTACTCCCTCAGGCTCCTCTGTATCACGGCTGTGATGTTTTGCGCCTTGTGGTCTGCATCCATCCCCTGCACATGGAACAGAACCACTTTGTAGACCAATAACAGGACTGTCCCCTCCTGGGGCCTGGGCCGTGCCCCAATAGTCTGGACAGAAAGGTTCTCTGGTTGCCACCAGTGGGTGGTGAGGGAGAAGTAGCCATGCTGCTAGATGCTCCAGAGGTCTGCTGTAAAGTGCACAGTCTTTCACTCTGGAGAGCTCAACCTTGACCATCAACACCATGGAGTGGTGCATAATGGCCAAGACTTATCAGTTCATAGTCCTCCACAAGGGGATGGAGTACCAGAGAGCCAGGTGTTGTAGAAGCCAGCAAAAGGATACATCATCCACGAGGGAGAAAGGTTGGCCACCCACAGCAATCATTTTGCCAACAATGCAAGTGACTGCTTCCTTGGCCCTCCCTAAAGCCCTTCTGGATGGCACTGTTGGTGTCCCTGGGGGAATGACCTCTTGGAAAGTGGCCTGCCTTGATGTTCCACCCATGGCACCCCGAGTGCAGGGAGCCTTTGTTGGAGGGGCCTCCTGCTCCCCCTCTGCATTTCTCTCTGCTGAGAGGGAGTGGGCCTCTTCTTCCTCCCCCTGGCCCCCACTCTTTTGTCTGGCAGCAACATTGTTGGGTGCACACTTTGTAGGTGCCTATGGAGGATGAAGGAAGACAAGTTTTGGAGGTCTGCACTCCTCTGGACATGGGTGTGGCACACTTGGCACTCTGCCACACAGGGTTCACTGGGGGAGGTATGGAAATGTTTCCAAAATGTGGGCTGGAGATGGTGGGAGGCACAGCTGCTTTCTGGTGCTGGGCTGGGAGGGGCCATGAAGGGGTGTACTTTAGGGGAGAGCAGCAACAGGGAGTTGGGATGTGGAAGAAGAGGATGCTTCCCTCCCACCCTCTATATCCCTGCCGTCAGAGTCCTCCTCTCCATAGATGTTAGCAACTCCTGGTGTTTGGGGAGTGCTAACAACTCTTTTGCCTCTGTGAAGAGATCAGAGGAAGAAGGCTCTGAGATCCCTGGTGATGCCCTGCTAGGGCCAAGTTCCAGTGGGCTGGCAGGATGGGTTTGGTGCCCAGGGATGGAGGCCTGTAGTATGCAGGGTGTGGAGGACTTCTTCCCCCCACGATGAGCACCGTTTGCACCCACTTTCACCCTCATGGCACACAGAGGTGTTCATAATCAGGAGGGGTGGGAGGGTATAAATGTGGGTCCTCAGCTGAGGCATCCAGTAGCTAAGCCCTTCTGCTTGGCATGAGCAGAGAGGCAGGGTGGCTCTGAGCCCTGAGTCCACCTAACACCCAAACCCCACCAGAGGAGAGGAGTTTGCCATCAGGAACAAATGATGAATGTGCTCTGCTTTTAACAAGTTCCCTGCCTCTCTGTCTAAATGCCAACAGCCAACAGAGGAGAGGCTGCAGAGCTGAGCTGGGAGTTTATATAGCATTCTGATCCCATAGAGTGCCTGTTAAGCTTTGGAGGGCCCTTATTAGTGTTTCCAAGGATGTAGAATTCTGGTCCCTCTGTTGTCTTTTAAGTTTGGTAAGTTTGGTAAACATTTTAATTGAGTGGAGACTGTCTGGAAATGTATACATTCATGAACCACCATGAAGAGCCTGAAAGTCACCCTGCCATGAACTTCACCCAAAATTCATCACAAACATTAGTTTGTGAGCTGGTTCATGCCAATCCCTACAAATAAAGTAAATTGATAGTCCCGTCATTGTACACAACACACTTGAAATGAGGTGCAGATCCTGACCCTGACATAACAACATAGGTCCATTCAGATGGGAGCGAAGAATCAGCATCCAGGCCATGTGTTTCCTCCATGTTCACGGAATTCACCCTCTTTTTAATTCCTTAGTCAAGAACTTTTGGAGTAAAGACAGCAAAGCAGGACAGGCCTCATGAGGAGGTTTACAGACAATGTGAACCATAAAAAAGTGACTGGTTTACCATTCCTTATGTAGCTCATTGCTATCTGGTAAAATCATAATAGTATAGCCAAGGGTCCATCAGTGTCTAGATCTCATGGAGAGACCACATTATGTTAATACCCAGCAGATCCCAGAATAATTCCAGCCTTAATTCAAAGAGGCGTGATAGAACATAAGACAGGTCACATTAACAGAAATTATTCACCTATAATGATGATGATGATGATGATGATGAAGAAGAAGAGATTGGATTTATACCCCGCCCTTCACTTGGTGTCTCAGAGGCTGATGGGGATGAAGAATGGAGTAGCTCAGGGTAGAAGAGCCAGCCACAAGCAACAAGGAAATTTCCCTTGTTAAGGTAGGTAGGGGGAAACCACCCCCATGACACCACAGTGAGCTCACACCTGGAGCTATTGGCACCTATTGTATCTCACTCTTAGGATTGAAATCTGGTCAGCCTCCACTTTAGAGGCCACTGTAGGGTTAGCAGGCAGGCATTTGGCTGGTGTTCTTTTAGCTGGATGCAAGGCTTGAAGAGAAGAAAAAAGGCCTATTTATCTATTTGAGACATACCTAGAGAGCAGCGGGTATTCTCCAACTGGCCAACGGTCCCCCTTAAATCCCAAGATGATGATGAGTCCAAATTATTAAACTGCCTTTGAGCAAAACTAATGGATCAAGCCAGCTTTCCTTACTGGCTCTAAAGCTGTTCAAGCACTACCACCACCACTACCACCACCGAACCCGTCACATATCTAAGCCCTATACCATAATTCACAGTTGTCAGGTATGGACGTCATCATTTTAATAGTACAAAAATTGGCTTCAGCACCTTAGTAGCAAATGATGAACAGTTAAACACTTCAAAATTATAGACCATTAAGAACAGCCACCAAAATTATAGATCATTATAGACCACGAAGCAGTACATTAAAATGTCTTTCCATGCATGTTTTAGACATTTTTATGAAGAAATTGCAAACATGACAAAACTATTTCCTGTATATTTATGAAGATGGCAACCATTAGAGGGAACATTGAGTTAATCATTATCCCAAAATGTGACAAATGACCTGCCCTTTCATTTGATGAGTGCAAATAGTTATCTGCTGTGCTAGAGAACTTAAGTGATCTTTCTTATGCTTCTGCATGCTATAATGCATAGCACAAATGGGGGACCCCCTGGCTGAGTTAAGCAAGTCAGGAGGTAGCACATCACCCAGTGGTTGGTGGTGGGAAACTAAGGGACAGCATAATGGGGGACTGGCTGTCAGCACTAATGTGAAGTCACTTCCAGAAAAAACCTGGATGTGACATCATATCTCTCTAGGAATCGTCAATGCCTATGGAGGTTTGATGTGACTTCCATTTCTCCCCAGAAGTGATGTCATGCCTTTGACCTGATGGTCTTTTAAAATTTTTCTCCTGTTGCTGCTCAGAGCAGCAATGGGAAATGACAAGTGGGGGCAGGGAATCTCTCACCCACACCAGTGGACTGGCAACCCTACTTCTCCCTCAAAGGCCAAAGTAGCCCTAGTGTCAGGATTGGACCCTTGACCTGGGAATTGATTGTCTTTGTACCATGATCAATAACTGTATCTTGCTGCCCTGCATTGCTAATGCCCACTTTCGCTTCTGTAACGCACACCCACTTTGCACATCTGCTGGCTCTGCTTGTTACCTTATCGGTCCTCCCTGACATTCCTACGGGGGGTGAGTGTGAGAACGATTGTATGGTGTTGAGTAGAGGCGCTGCTTGTAACTTTCCTGAAGCTACCCCCACATGGTTCACAGGTCCAGCTGTGGCCTTGGGAGACAGGAGTCTTGAGATACAGCTAGTTGGGTCGTATATTCTCTCATGACCTGTAGTAGCCTGAATGAGTGTGACATATGTCTGATGGGTGGAACCCGTTCCCCACTATCCATCCCTGGGCTATTGATAGTTAGTTCTGGCAAAGGTGTTCACCTGACCAGAAGCCATATCTTACCAATAAACCTGATCAAGGACTATTGTGTACAGAGTGGTTACTCCAGAACCTGACACCTAGAAGGGCCCTGCACCATCTGTCTTTTACTGACAAAAACCAGGGCTTGAATGCTGGTGATACTGTTGTGGTAGGGAAGAAGAAGAAGAGATTGGATTTATATCCCGCCCTTCACTACCCAAAGGTGTTTCAGAGTGGCTTACAAACTCCTTTCCCTTCCCCCCCCACAACAGACACCCTGTGAGGTAGGTGGGGCTGAGAGTGCTCTGACAGAAACTGCTCTTTTTCAAGGACAGCTCTTATGAGAACTAAGGCTTGCCCAAGGTCATCCAGCCAGGTGCAAGTGGAGGAGTGGGGAATCAAACCCGGTTCTCCCAGATTAGAGCCCACGCACAACCACTACACCAAATTACTAGTGGCAAGGGCCCTTGCCTGTGATATAATGGCATCACCAGAGAGATGCACTGATATCACTCCCTGTGTTCCCAGAAGTGATGTCAGTGCATCACTGGGGGATGCCAGAGATGTCCTCGTATTCAGGCAAAACTAAGGTTTAGCCCCCCTCCCTATTTTTTTCTCCTGTAGGGCAACTGAGTGGCCATAGGGAAGCACCCACTGGCAGAGGGGGAATGACAGCCCTATATGGAGGGTATTTGTTTCTTAAAACTACAGGCACTACTTCCATCATCTTGGAGGGTTTAAAAAAACAAACAAACCCACACACTATATTTTTTATTTCAGACTTTCCCACAAACCTGTGCTTTTCTCATAATTTGGAAAAAAATCTATCCTGTCTGTTCATGGCCCCAGTCACCGGAATGAAGTATTCAGAGATGGGGCCATGTTGAGAATTAGATATATTGATTATGCACAAAAGGTAAATATTATTTAAAATTTAATGTCAGAGCTAGAAAATATAGCTGATGCTCAGAATCAGTAGGAGTCTACTTTTTAAAATAAAAATGGGCTTCCCTATAGCATCCAAGTTGGAGCAAACAACCTGTGTGTGACTATATATCTAACAGCAAAAGTACAGCCCCATCTGCAGATATCTAAATCTGTGGATTGTGGCCACACTTACCCAAAAAGATAGTTCTGCAGACTTGGGGGGAAAATCTGAAACATT